AAAAATCTTATCTAATATAATTCTAACATAGAAGATGTTAAAAAGAAGAAAACTCAAAAACGGAAAGAAATTGAAAAGGGAAAAAATCAAAAGAAGACGATCTTTGAAGATAAATATCATCAATGGTAGCATTCCCTAGGAAAAATATATAAAAATAATAATAATTTTAGTATTAAAGCTCGGTCGATCAATCTTGCAAGCAATCTCTCTGTTTACATACGGAAACAACCGATATCTTCCATCAAATTGACGTTTACAATTCGATTCTTCGAGAAAAATGGGAGGTGAAGTAGCAGATAATTCAAGTGTTTCTGCTCGTGGGAGGTTAGCTGTTCTATCAGCTCATCTCTCTGCTTGTCTTGAATCCAGTGCTTTTACTCCTGTTCTCGAGTCATCATGCACCTCCGCTCAGGTGTTTGTGTCTCCACCGCCTAATTTGAAGGGTTCGTTGGTGATCGCCGATGAACGAACCGGCAAGAAGTACAAAGTTCAAGTTTCGGAGGAAGGGACAGTGAGAGCTACCGACTTGAAGAAGGTAAACGAACTTCGATAAATCTGATTCTGCTTAATTAGGATCATTAAATTCTATGTTTGATCAAGTTTTATTTTGTGATCTTCGTGTGTTTTGGGGGTTTTTAAACAACACGACTTTTGGATTTATAACCAGTCAAATAGGTACGAGATTTCATGAAAATCACATGGTAGGATCGATCGGAGTAAAATGTTAATCGCAACTCTTACATCAAAATTCAATCCAATTTTCTCGTAAACAGTGTACCAGAGCGACAAAATCCGATTGTTTTCCTGTAGAACCTCATCCAATCGTTATATCAAATGTCTAATTCAATTATAAAGAGTTGATACGCCTGAGCTGAAGTTAAAGGTGTAAATTGTTGCAGATAACAACAGGAAACAATGATAAAGGTCTGAAGCTTTACGATCCTGGTTACCTAAACACAGCTCCTGTTAGGTCATCAATCTGCTACATTGATGGCGATGAAGGGATCTTAAGATACAGAGGCTACCCAATTGAAGAACTGGCCGAAAGTAGTTCTTTCCTAGATGTAGCCTACCTTCTAAGTAACTCTTCTTCCTCATTTCTCTACAATCTTAACCTAATGACATCTGTTTAAGTATCAATGGCAACTAGAAACTCAAATGATTGTTGTTTGCAGTGTATGGGAACTTACCTTCTCAAAGCCAATTAGCAGACTGGGAGTTCACAGTAGCACAGCATTCAGCTGTTCCTCAAGGAATCCTGGTAAATTGTTTTCACATATGCAAATCAACAACTAGGAAAAGTGGATTGTTTTTCAATAATTTTTTTTTATAAAACTTGTGTTCTCAGGATATTATACATGCCATGCCTCATGATGCTCATCCAATGGGTGTTCTTGTCAGTGCAATGAGTGCCCTTTCTGTATTCCACCCTGATGCCAACCCTGCTCTCAGAGTCAGTAAACTTTAATCTTATTACTTCTAAATACTAATTTAGGATTTGTTTTTATTGTCATCTTAATATTTCATTATAATAATAATAGGGGCAAGATCTGTACAAGTCTAAACCAGTGAGAGATAAGCAAATAGTGCGCATACTTGGGAAGGTTTGACCATTGACCATTTGACCATTTCATTTCTATCCTTTTTCCCTTCTGTTAATTATATTTTATCATCTTGTTTGATTTATTTATTAATAAAATTTTCAGGCACCAACTATTGCAGCAGCAGCTTATCTGAGAATGGCAGGGAGGCCTCCTGTTCTTCCTTCCAGCAATCTTTCTTATTCTGAAAACTTCTTATACATGCTAGATTCATTGTATGTTCTATTTATTGATTTATCTGAATAGGGTTTTTATTGGGTTTTGATTTTGTGATTTAATTTTGATATAAACTTTATGTAATTTCAGAGGTGATAAGGCGTATAAACCAAACCCTAGACTTGCTCGGGTGCTTGATATTCTTTTTATATTACATGCTGAACATGAAATGAATTGTTCAACAGCAGCTGCAAGACACCTGGCATCAAGGTTAACAATTTATTTTCTTTTTTCAACTTTTATGCGTTTTAGAAAATGACGAAAATGTCCTTGTAGTGGTGTTGATGTATACACGGCTCTTGCTGGGGCTGTTGGAGCACTATATGGTCCTCTCCATGGTGGAGCAAATGAGGTATAAAATATATTTGTTTTTCTTTTATATAATTAATAAAATAGATTAACTAGTCAAAAAATGATATTGAATATTTCATGTGTTATATAGGCTGTGTTAAAGATGTTGAATGAGATTGGAACTGTTGACAATATTCCAGAGTTCATTGAAGGTGTGAAAAACAGGTTAGTTTTCTTGTTATATTTAGTTTCTGAGATTTGTAAATTATTGAATTTGATGATAATGGTTTTTAATTTCTACACAGGAAACGAAAAATGTCAGGTTTTGGGCATCGTGTGTACAAAAACTATGATCCCAGAGCAAAAGTTATTAAAAAATTGGCAGAAGAGGTTTTCTCCATTGTAGGAAGAGATCCCCTTATTGAGGTGTATTTCACACTCCATAAAAAAATTGATATTTTCTTGTTCTTATCGTTTAGGACTTAATGAACTTAAGGTGTTAAGAACATAAGGAGGACTTAATTTGGACATAATGACTTAATAGGTTAAGCCAAAAAAAAAAAAATGATGAATATTGTGAGATTTTTTTTTTTTTTTGGATTGTAAGGGTAAAATGGTCATTTGGTCTCATTCAAACAAGTTTAATATATTAAGACACTAAGGCTATGTTTGGCGTACAAACTGAAAAGCTAGTTGTTAAATAAAAAGCTATTTGGTAGCCGGTTGATAAAAAATAACGTTTTGTAAAACTAGGTGAAAAGCTAAGCTAAAAGATATAAAAGGACATGATAGGACATTTAAAAGAATGTGTTTCTATAATTAATTAAGGGGTATATTTGGAAGTAGCTTTTTAAAAAGCTAGATTATAAGCTGTGACATGCCAAACACCACCTAACCCTTAAATAGGCTATTTGATAGTTTTTGATTGAGTGAGACACAAGACACAAGACACAGCTCAAATATTAAAGGCTTCTAATTTTGGTTTCAAACAGTCTGAATCTGACCCAACCTCTTACCATTACGAGACCCAGTAAGAGGCATACCTAAACTATTGATGTTGAACAGGTAGCTATTGCTTTGGAGCAAGCAGCATTATCAGATGAGTACTTTGTGAAGAGAAAGTTGTACCCGAATGTTGATTTCTATTCTGGCCTGATTTATAGGTACGTTTGTATTTGACATTTTTTTTTTTTTTTTGTGGATGTTTTATACAAGATTTTTTCAAACATTTTATGAAACACAGGGCAATGGGTTTCCCAACGGAGTTCTTTCCTGTTTTATTTGCAATCCCTCGAATGGCTGGTTACTTGTCACACTGGCGAGAGTCCCTTGATGATCCCGACACAAAGATCATGAGGCCCGCACAGGTTTGTCTAAATGCAACAAATACCAATCTACTTTCCTTTCTTTTTGATTTTTGTCACTTAACATTTCAATTATTTTATATACAAATAATTTATAATATATAAATATTTTGGTGTTTGATTTTATTTAGGTGTACACGGGGGTATGGATGCGGCATTACATTCCTGCCCAAGAAAGGATGTCATCAACTGGGGCAGTGGTAGATAAGCTCGGGCAGCTTTCCGTCTCTAATGCCACAAGGCGGAGGTTATCTGGGTCTGGGATTTGAGGCAACTTAAAGAAAAGAGTAAGGATAATTGGTTGAATTCATATTTCATCATCTATTTCTGATATTATTGTTGTATGGTGATTGTCATAATATGTAATGGTCAAGTTTATGCATAACTTATGCTTCCATTTATATGTCATGATATGATGATATGGATTCTAGTAATATTCGGTTGTTTTAGCAATCGCCAATAAAAGCACCTTTAGGATTGCTTGAATGTGACAGTATGCTTTGCAAATAATCATCTTAGATATAGAAACCTTAAGGCTACAAGTTTACATGAGAGCAAATAATATTTCTAAGAAACATATATTATCGGAAGATATTCACGTTATGACCCATTTGACATGATACGATTTGCTTGCAATTTAGTCATGTAACTTCATCAAGAGTTTTTCAGATACACAACAAACAAATTAACTCCTATCAAAAAATTCTATGAATTTGGATTAACAGTTTAGTTCATTTATGAAATTTCAAGCATTGTCAGACTACATGTTTGCAAATAATGGACTAAGATTTCTCCACATAATATATTTTGTTATATTCACGGAATTTTAAACAAGTCACATTCTTTAGTCAAGATGGTACATTTAATTAATTAGTTGATCATTCATATAAAAGTGAAATAAAATCACACATTTTTGTATATAAATTGAAACGATAAATCAGCTAGGGTTGGGAGTATTTTTTTTTTTTTTTTTCTAAAATTGATGGCAAGGATCTGCTTGAAAGATCATATGATCGATTTTATATATTTCAACCATATTTTTGGGTTACACAAAATCTCGAATCCAAACTATGGGGATCTTTCAAGAAACAGTCTCATATCAAGGCACTAACATGAATCCACAAACTAGGGTTTTATAGACATCAAAATCTTCTGACTATTAAAGATAATATCAATCGGCATTAAATGCCCCTAGGACCCCCCTTGATCTTCACATTTTCTTTGAACCGAAATCAAACTACAAATATGCACATCCTTACTTGTCTAAAATCAAAGATAAGAACTGTGCTAGTAATTTGTAAATTTCATTATACAAAAATAATATGGTTGACAGACAAAACCTACATAATTGTCATATAAGAATCATCCGTTGACATAGATTCAAGATTAACATAATTAGTCATCATAGAATAGCTTTACATAAGATTCATAGAATCAATCACATAGAAATCATTAAGACCAGATAAATTCACTTAATCACAAACATACACAAACACCAATATGAATTGTAAATTTAAATCCTTGTAACTCACCAATTTGTGTTGCTTCCTAGTACGAGATGATAATACTTGGAAATAAACACAAACTATTTCTAATTGCAATCAAAACATGAATATGCACGTTATCATTAAAAGGTGAACATTGGGATGCAGAAAGTGAAAACATACTTGTTGACAGGTCAGCAGTAGCATACAACATTTATAGAAAAATGGAAAAGACTTTTATCAACATTTGAAACATTCTATAACAAACTGAGATACACAACCTTATTCAAAACCAAACGTGAAAAGGCTCTTCAAAATCTTCTTGCTGTTGATGTTGATGTACTAAATTTGGAACTTGAAGGAGTAGAAGAAGACTTTCCAGGAAAATGACTTGGTTTCTTTATAATAGGAGAAACCCTATATCATAAAAATATTAATTCAACAATGCTTTTTTTTTTACAAGATCCACAAAGGTTTTAATTAATCAACTACAATGGTATATACCTTTGGTTGTTTTGAAAGTTGGTTTTCTTCATAGCTGATAGGTTTTTCACCTCTCGGCTGTTATAAAAAAAAAAAAAGAAATAAAAACCGATGAAAAGAAGGCAAACAAATTTTATTTTATTTAAAAAAAAAGTTTATTTTCTTTATAGAAAACTGAACAAAGTAAGTACCTGTTAAGGAATTCTAGTTTAGCCTTCTTCATGATGCCACTCTTTGTATTGCCAATGTTACTACTAGGGCCTCCTACACTTGGAGACATGTCAGCAAACTAACTACCATTTTAATTAAATTATGTAATTATGTAAAACTAATTAACAATAAAATTTAATAGAGTTGTATATGGAAATGGAATCATAGTACCTCCCCAAAAACCCCTTTTGTTGGTGGAGGGTGGCACCTTGGTGCACAGTTGAACCTGTCGACTTTGCTTCTCTGTTGTTCATAATAACATAAGAAATAAGAGTGGTGAAGAATATAAAAAATGACAGTTTAAACAATATATCTATAAGGCTAAAGAATCGTTTTCGTTTTGGTTTTGGTTTTTTGAACTTTCTCCAACTCTAAAAATCTAGTAGGACGTGCAAGGATATTTTCTATAATGTCTTTAAATGCAAAATATGCTATTTTCGAATTGGGTTCTTTCTTTTGAAATATGCTGCAAGATTTTCTTTGTAAAGTAGGTCCTAAATGAAGGTGATGTATTGGCTTCTAATGAACCTTCTACTTTGTTCATTTCAACCATACTCAATAAATCTTTCCTGGTAAATATCTTTAAATTTTATTTAAGAAACACAACCAAAAGCTCTTTGGTGTGAAAGATTTACCTCCCTACCTTGTCATCCTTCTTCCGGCATCTGAAACCCTAATAACAAAACGGAGGGTGCCCAAGGTAAGTTATTGTGCTATCCGGTGTTCTAAAAGGCGTGCCTTGACGTGAGGCGCGACTCCGCTGTTACGAAAAAACTCAAGGTGTTGTTGTTAGACGTGGCGCGTGGCAAGGCGTCATATGGCGTAGGATTTTTGTCTGAGGCATATTTGTTTGCTATTTGTTATGCCTTTTTTGATCAGGCATACAAGTATTGTGTTTTTTGTTAACCTTTTGTTATTAGTTGTTGATATAACACTTCTAAAAACTGGCTATATATATATATATATATATATATATATATATATATATATATATATATATATTTGTGGTAAAATAATTATAAATTAATGCAAAATCGCCGCTTACATCGCGCCTTGAAAAACGCCATGACTCGTAAAGCTTGAGGCTTGGCCTTGCCGTCATGCCACGCCTCGTGCCTTTTAGAACCTTGGTACTGAATCTACTCTTAAACAACCCTGCATGAAGTCTCAATACTCTTTGTGTTTTCTATTTGTTCTTTCAACAACTCCATCTGCCGAGGGGTTTCTCAGACTGTATTCAACATCTTTGATTCCATTCTTATCACAAGAATAAATTTGTTGTATCCACCTCCGTTATAAGACTTCAAACACTTGATCTTTGAGTTTGTCTTAGTCTCAACAACTTTCATCAACATGAACCTACTTCAAACCCTCCCTTGGGTGACGTTCCCATATATGTCAAAGTAACGTTGTATTTAGTCGAGTGAACATGGCTCATGGAAGCCAATAGACACATTCTTAGATCCGGAATCTCGCCTTTTGTAACCAACATCTTCATACGCTTCACTCATATGCACACATCTTTGGTGCGACATAGAAAATACACCCACGTCCTCGATAGTTTCATTTGCTCTATCGGTAGGTACATGAAGTAATTAAACCATATATAATGTTCCTCGTTTATGACCCCAAGCAAAAACTAGATTTCCATTTTCATTTTCCATGAGTGATAGTCAAAGTCCCATGATGATCTATATCTTCCAATTGTCTCACTTGAATAAGTATTCTCTTAATATCTGGCTATACCCAACACTCTTTAACATCCCTGATGCCCATAATATTCTTTAACGTTCTTACCAAAAGAAAACATGAAAACATCCCTGATACCCATAATACGAAAGTGTCTTATTATCAGCTACCCAAACTTTACCACTAATGTGCTTGAAAGTCTATATCGTCTCCAAGCATGGGGTGATGTGGAATGATACACCTGAATCCATGAATCCATCTGCATTTAGTTGGGCATTCTAAACAACTAATCATAGCTTAATCAAGCCTACTAACTACGACATTCACCTCTTTCTACCCTTTGTGTCAGATGTAGGTGTTGTGCACTGGTCTCTAAAGAGATCGATTTGCTTGCATCTCCAACATGTCAAAACTCAAATCATTCCTATTCTTTTGATCGATCTCTTTTACTAAATCTTTCTTTGCCTTTAGCAGTACTCTACCCTATCTCAAATCTCCCACCCTTGCCATTTACACTGAACTCGGTTACTCACCAAAGTTCTTACAAATATCTTATTCGATGATCAAATCATGGATTCCTTCAAATATAGGTCTAGTCATCCTAGATTAACTACTAACTTATGCAACATTGACATACCAACTCTAGGCAACAAAGATAATAATAAAAATGCTTGTACTTCATCAACAAAATTAATATCAACCGAGTCTAACGGGGATAAAATTGCATTAAATTGAATAACAAGGTTTGTAACAAACATACCTTCTTTCAACTTCGTGTTGACCAACTTTCTGACGAAGAAAACCATATTCGAAACAGAGGATTTTTCATACATATTGGACAATTCCTTGATAAGTCTATACATGGTCCTCTCGTTGAAGGTGTTGTAAGTAATGTTTTTTCATCAAACCAAGGCCCAGACGATCTAATCCTAATCATCTTGCTCCATCTTCCTAGGTTTCTATTATGATAGCGGTTCATGCATCTTTTTCTCGTATAATTTGCAACTTTCAAAAACCAAAAACATGGCCATCAAAGTTGTCAATCTTAACTTTCTCATCTCTACCATCATTAATGGTTGTTAGGAAAACTATTAATCAAACACGCTAAACATACTCGGATTAAAGTATAAGAAGAGAAAGAACACAAGAATTTACATAATTCACACACTCATTGTAACGGTGCTAACTAAGACATTGCACTTGCTCCTCAACTCCCACCATCATGGCGGAGGTCAAGTCCATTTGGCAACTATCAAACTTCACAACTCAAACACCTCGTACTTAATGGTTTCAAGAAAATACTCATCAATAGGATCGGTTTGCTAAGTAGGGATTATATGATTTCCAACTTTACTTAGAGATATCCTTATCAACATGTGCATCTTTTTAAGCATGAGTCGCACAAATGAAACTTTTCTTTCAATGCCCAAATCTTTGGACAAATTACAATACATTACGTCCTTAGATATAAAGATAGTAAAACCTTAGTTTCTTGAATCTCCAACACAATCCTTCTGATTCCCGAACAACATTATAAGCAACATATAGTTTGTCCTCCTACAAAGTAACCTGCAAACAAAATAAAATATCAAAGGGTGGTCATGGCAAACCATCTTGACCCATCGTGATTATCTTGCACAATAGACCATCGTGACTCATAGTGAACCATCGTAAATCAACGTGAAGTAGCAGATTATCAATGCATATGATAAGGACATTGTCGAAATTAGAATATTAAAATCTACCAATCTCTGATTTGCTTTGGGGAGAGAAAGAGAAAGAGAAAGCATACGAGAATGGTGATTTGATTTTGAAAAGATATTAAGATGATAGTAAGTGGGAGGGAAAGCAATCTCCAACGATGAGATTGAAAGTAAATGAAAGAGATAGCACCTTAAGAAGACCTATGTCCTTAAACGTCACTCTTGCATCAACTCTATGTTTTAATCGACTATTGTGCCACATGCACACCTCCAACACAAATCATCACCACTATATTTACTTATAGTTACGTAAAGTAAGCAAGATGTTGACTTGTGAAAATTAGGGTTGTAACATCCGTGTCAATTAATGAAGTTACTCGAAACAAAATACATAAAGTACATTGTACATCGAAAAAGATAGTAGTCCCAACTATAAATGGAAAATTATTCACCACTCGTCCCGACTATATATATCTAGTTCACTATCAGATATATCTAACATATGTCTTCAAGTCGAAGGATAGATGTCAATCATCACAAACTTGTTGCATGTGAAGTCTATCCAAGGTTTGTTCTCAAAATGCTTGGTCAAGAATTTGGAAGCTCATGTGCAAATAATGCACTCCCCTCCTTAACAAATCATCCTTAATATGATTGGTTCTTTCATGAAAGACTTTATTCATGGCTACATCGATTAAAAATTGGTTATTCAAAGGAGTTCCAATCTTTAGCTCATGAAGACTATAATAGTTTATGTTCTTTCACTACACACCCTAGACAAACAATTCAAACTAACCAAGCATCCAAATGCACTCAATGCACATATTATGCTAGGGTTGAAAAGTTCATTAAGGAAAATATGTTAGCTACGTGAAACCATGCTTCCTTTCGGCTACATACAAGAGCAAAATCAAGAAGTACCCCTTGCCTTGACTAGCATAATGTAATGCATAGCTGAGAGAATTATCGTCAATTGATTGCAAAAGAGAATTATCATCAATTCATCACAAAGCATGAGGGAGTGCAAACCTTACAAAATTGTTCATCTTCAATGATGGTCACTAAAAGCCTTTTAAACAAAAATCCTAGAGCCTGGAGTTATTAGTGATCCTAATAGCCATATGGGTTTTGCAAAGTCAAACAACCCTAAAAATGAAGGCTACGTGCAAAATGCCCATAAATGTAAGGAATCCTAACAAAGTACAAACTAGATTACAAAGTTGTCTTATATATCTAGCAGACTTCAACATTGATCCCAGCTTCTTCATATCAAGAGGAGAATAATATATCGGCATATCCCATAAGATTATATATTACCATAGGCTGCTAAAATTATAACAATTTGTATAAGTAAGACAAAATCTACCAATTTTTTCAATCTATAGGTCGTTCTATCTTTATAACTAAAGAAGAAAAGTCATTTACTTTCCATAGATTTATACTAGATTTAGTCTATGATAATCATAAAATATTCACATTATAGATAACAAGTCACCGAATTACCCATGCATAACAAATATCAACTCTGTCCAAAAGTTTTAGGTTTTTTTAAGCCGTTTTTATCTGTTAGTATCAAAGGTAGAGACATGTAAACAGAATCACCAGTATGATACAGTTATAAGTAACTTCATAAATTGCACAAAATCATATTTGAATTTAACAAGCAAACAGGCACCCAAGTTAGCAAATAAATATGTTGTGAGAGGTTGCACCTTCAAAGTTTACTACTTAAAACAAAATTTAGCATTAAGAGAAACAAAATCGAATAAACATAGAGCAAAAAGGTAGCCAACAGAAGTTCTTCAATCATAATAGTAAATGAAAAACTTACTAGCATTTTCCTTTTTATATAGTTGCTTTATTCGCTCAAATGACTTTTGTTGTGCCTCCTCATTATCCTTTACCTTCGCCTACAAATTGAGCAAGGTAATTGTATCAGTGCCATTTTATATAATACCACACAATCATCATATCATTATGAATAGTGAAGTTAAAAAGAGAGAAAACCACCTCATACAATTGTCTCCATTTAAATGAAACTCTCTTCTCTTTCATTCTCTCAACTACAACATTGGTGCTGTTAGCACCAAATTGTAACACATAAAAGTTCTTCCACAGCTTATCAGTAACTGGGCTAAGATCTCGATCCTACACAGCATAAAATAATTTAATTTCTCAAAATTCAAACACAATTTGTTGCTTAAGTAAAAACAATGTTGAAAATATTCATTATACCTCGGTTGAATCCTCGATATGCATCAACTGCTCAACAGTACAGTGTGGTAAAAAACGTTCTAGAAGATGGAAGTCTGTTTCTCCCACATCCCCTAAGTACCTAACATTGTCTACAGCTTTCTGAACACAAAGATCAACCAAAGAAGGGATTTTTCTTATTGGCTTTGTATCCCATTCTTCTATTGTGTAGTGCTTTGATCTCATCATTGGAGTACAGCCCTGCAGAAAGCAGTTGTAAGTTTTTTCAGAACACAATGAGATCCAACATTTGAATTTTGAACAAAAACCAAAATGTTGCATTTATTTGATCTGAGAATGAAATTGTTGCAGTTACTATGGGTTATTGTGTAGACAGATATTTGTCAATTTGCCAATTTTTTATGGGTGTACCTTACTTGAAAAACATTTAAACATCTATACTTATTTTATTTTCTGTAGTATTTTATGTAGAACTCTAATACTATCGATTGCAAGTCTTCTTCAGTCGATATACTTTGTGTCCCAAATTGCCTTTAAATAACTCTTGTCAAGAATTATCTCCATGACTTCTTTTGGCTTAAATAGCCTTGAAAATAAAGTCTAACGAAATCAAAAAAGATAACTGCTACGTTTTGCACTCAAATAAGGACGTCGTACACTTAACTTGTAGACTAAACCAACATAAAATTACATCCAAAGAAATAGGGTTAATTAGTAACAGAAAGAGATGCATCTTTATCAATTACGTACTATTAACCTGTTTATAGGGTTAAAAACGTAAGACGCATATAGCTTTAGATGGATTTGCCGATCTTCGGAGACCTTTACCTTTCTGGAAGGGGTAACAAGTAAATAAATTGTTAAGAATGAAAGTAATCAAATTACCAGCTCAACTGGATAGGAAACGTTTACTGAGAATATTACCTGTGGCCGCCGGAGACGACGATCGGCGATCGAAGGATCAACGCTGTTCCGATGAAAATCCGTAAATCAGATGAAAAATTAAAGACGATCGGAAAGATCGAAATCTTCAGAGGCGTCGTCAGCAATTGCTACGAGACATCAACATCGGCGACAGAAGAAGCAGATAGAAGGTAGTTGGCTTTCTTTTTCCGGCAGATATTGTTTCGAAATCTCAAGGCCGGCTCCTACCCAATCTCTACCGTCGACACCACGCGTTTCCAAGGGCAATATCGGTATTACCGTATTGGATATGTCGCTCGTTGTATCGCATGCGAACCCTGTGCCCAACTAATAACAAAACTAACCCATCGATGTAGCCATATAGGGCGATTGTGTTATTTAATTTTAAAGATTTTTATTATTAATTTTAAAGATTATTATTATTATTATTATTATTATTATTATTATTACTAGTTTATAACCCGTGATAACTACGATTATAAAATTAATTAAACTTTCGTATTAAAAAATCAAAATCATTAATAAATTATTACTTAAGAGATATTTTTTAGTTATATAAAATTATAATCGTTGTTTTAAATAAATACGTAGAGTTATATCATTTTATAATTTATATTGATTTTATTTTATTTTTTAATCTAATGTTATTAATTTAATATAATTAAAGGGAGAAATTTTAAATTTTGAAATTTAAAATGAAGAATCATTATTAATCATTATTAATTTAATAAAATTAGAGTGCGAAATTTAAAATTTGAAATTTGAAGTTTAAAATGAATAATTAATAGGTTGACAAGTGACATTAAAATTGATATATATTATTAATGAGAGGTTCTAATTACATGACACTTGTCAATATGAGATTAAACCTATTCTTTTATTAGAAGAGGAAGATTATTATTATTTTACAAGAGACCTTTACTAACGAGAGTTTTGAGCAAACTTTTGTGTACCTATTAATCACAGTTGTGTTAAAGATGTGGGGTATAGAAAAACTTACAAATTCTGAAAATCGTGTATAACATTTTCAGATTAAAGTATTTAGGTGATACTTCCAATCTTTAATCGGATAAGACTCATAAAATGAGAGAAAACAGAAGAGAGAATGTTCAAGATATTATAAAGAAAAAGAGTACAAAAAAAACTGATTTCGAAATGATCATATAATAAGAAAAACTTTCTATCTTAAAACTGTCACATGACAATTTTATGTCTTAAGATCGTCCAAAAATAGTCGTAAACCAACTTAAATCCGAGTCTAGAATATGGATCACAAAACCGGGTGCATTTACCAAAAATCCGAATTTCTAATGCATTTTTTATATGGTAATATAATCTATATAAAAAATTTTCGACCCCAGCTAGGGGCTCTGCCCCTTGGACCCTGCCAAGGGCTAGTTCAGGGGTTTCGCCCCTAAATAGCAATTTACTTTCAACAAAATACAAAATTAAACAATATGTGCACTCCGCACCATACCAATTTGTTCAATAATTATCAAAAAGTGATATTGATCAACAAATTAACTACATTACACTTAAATAATATTAGTGATATAAAATCACCAACAAGTTGCAAACACGAGCCTATAACTCATGCTCGAGAATCATTCTGAACGAACCTCCATGCTAATATTTTTATATGTGTCCTTAGGCACATGTTAAAAAATCCATTAATTTTAAATGTGTTTTATAAAATTATTATTAGTTTACGTGATAATGATTTTTAATATATATATATATATATATATATATATATTAAGATTAATTTATACATGTAAAATAACCAAAAATAATATATTTATATATTTATAACTATTTTGTAAGTGATGAGTTGTTTTAAAAAGTAAAAAAAAATACTCATGAAAATGATTTTTGAAGGTGACAAGTATTATACATACATATATATATATATATATATATATATATATATATATATATATATATATATATATATATATATATATATATATATATATATATATCCTTCTCAAACTATAAAACTCTCATCTACATTCAAACTCTTAATTTATTAGGTTTAAATTAATTTAATATAAAGAAAAAACATCATAAATGGTCCATGTGGTTTTCCAAAATCTAAAGTTTAGTACCAGTGATTTAGAAACGTCATAGCTGGTCTCTGTACTTTCAAAACTTTTGACAGTTGGTCCTTATCCCTAACTCCGTTAAATTTTATCAGTTAACTGAAGGGTATTTTCATCATTTCACTACCAATGTGACCATTTATGATGTTTTCTCTTATTTAAAAAAAATGAAATAATATTCTCTCTCTCTCCTTCTCTCTCTCTCTCTCTCTCTCTTTCCGATCAACACACACAAACACACATTAACAACCATGAAATACCTAACCTAAATCTTCAACACCATTAACTAAATGTTTCTGAAAATCGAGAGAGTGTAAGTACAAGGAACTTGAGTAACTACAATAGTACAATGGATCTAAGGATTTTGAAATCGGACTTTCAAGATTACCCAACATACACACAACACACACACACACACAAAGACTCGATTAATCTTCGGCACTCTCCATCACCAACAAAACCCCTTCATCTCCGACACTCCCCTTCCTCCACTTACACATCTACAAATTACACACCTAAAATCGATACACATACAAACTTACAGATCTAGAAATGGACACAAACACACACATGAAGGGGTTTTGTCGGTGATGGAGAGTGCCGAAGATTAATCGAGTCTTTGTGTGTGTGTGTGTTGTGTGTATGTTAGGTAATCTTGAAGGTCCGATTTCAAAATCCTTAGATCTATTGTACTATTGTAGTTACTCAAGTTCCTTGTACTTACACTCTCCCGATTTTCAAAAACATTTAGTTGAAGGTGTTGAAGATTTAGGTTAGGTATTTCATGGTTGTTAATGTGTGTTTGTGTGTGTTGATAGAGAGAGAGAGAGAGAGATAGAGAGAGAGAGAGAGAAAGTATTATTTAATTTATTTTTCATTTTTTTAAAATAAGAGAAAACATCATAAATGGTCACCGTGGTAGTGAAATAACGAAAATGCCCTTCAGTTAACGGATAAAACTTAACGGATTTAGGGAAAATGACTAACTGTCAAAAGTTTTGAAAGCACAGGACCAACTATGACGTTTCTAAACCACAGGTACTAAACTTTAGATTTTAGGAAACCACATGGACCATTTATGATGTTTTTTCTAATATAAAAAACTTATCTAGAAATCAATTTTTTTAAGTGATTATACTAAAATACCCTTCCAAATATTAAAGATTAACACTAAAACATTTTAATTGGGATTAACCTAATTATAATTTCATGTACGTCGTTTATTTCATTCCTAAACATAATCTGTCAACACCAAAACATTTGTAAACAAAAGATAGAATTATAAGAAAGAAGATGAAGAGCATCAAAAACAAACTAGGAGCATAAATATCCACCCAAAAAAGGTAAAAAGGTTAAGAATCCTTATTCTTCATAGGCCCACATATCTAAATCAAAATGAACACAGAGTTTGATTTCATATGACGAGAAAACTTAAACGACGTGCAGTCAAAGAATGGAAATCAAATTTGAGTCGATGAGGGATGAGGGAGAACAACATGGAATGAACGACGTAAAGGAAATTTTCTCTAGGTTTAATCTAATTGAAATAATTTAATGTTAATCTTTAATATTTTGGAAGGGTATTTTAGTATAATCACATTGAAATTTGATTTGTATATTAGTTTTTTAATATTAATATTATATTTAATTTAAACCTAACTAAATTTAAAATTTTGATATAAATATGAGTTTTATAGTTTGAGACAGATATATATGTAATTTTAAATTGTATAAGGAAATAGACTTAATATTTAAAGTTTCCAAAGATATATATGAAAATTTCCCAACCTTTTAAAACATTTTTTTTAGATTTGTTGACTTTTTAAAAAGCTAATTAATGCATAAACTTTTTTACTATCCCAAACATCACCACCAAATAAAGGAAAATTAAGTAATTTAAACACTTTTTGTGGCTTTAAAAAAAAATAGTTTATAATTCTCTTCTTTTGAAAAATGACCATTTGGTCCGGGATGCGTATCTTTCGGACCGAATTCCGAAATGGATAAATAAGTAAAATGGTCTAACCCGACAATTTGGTCCCCATATATAACATGTTGTATAAAGATGACAAAAATTGACACGACACGCAACCTGACATGAACCTAACACGAAATAAACGGGTTTGGTAAGATATTTTAACATGTTTAAATAAACGGGTTGATACGACACGACACGAAAATTAAATGGGTAAGGTTAGGGTTGAGAATTTCAACTCGAATATGATTTGAAAATGACCCGTTTATTTATATGCAAGTTTTCTGAATTATTTAAATAAACTAGAAAGATACAAAACCAAAAGCATAAGTAAAAGAAAACCTTCGAATTGAATTGTTTTGTAATGCTGAAATGACTTACGCATCTAGATCAAGATTTCATTTCAGTTTTTCCATTCTCTCACAAACTACCCAGTCTCTTTCACTACTCTCACATCCTCATGATATTATCATCCGCCTCCCCAGCTCTCACTCTTTTAATTTTGTCATCTAAACTTGCTATGACTTCATCTATTCCACCTAAAAACAATTAGTTTTTCATTTCCGTCTACCAAACTCCTACTCTTTCAACATGCTCAATCTTTTAACCTCACATGACACGACATATTTCAAGGTATAACCCTAACCCGAAACCTGACACGAACTCGACACGAAAATAAACGGGTTGACATGACACGACACGTTAATTAAATGGGTTGGGTTAGGGTCAAGCACTTTCAACCCGTTTAGTGTTTCGACACGACACGAATCCGACACGACACGATTGCCACCTCTAATGTCGTACTCTGAACTCACTTTTTCGAACTCTATACCCCTTGTTTTGGATTATATCAATTTCAAAGAATGACATCTTCTAGCTATGAAGATATTAAATTTCAGATTATTATATATTAAAAATAAGGTTTTTTTGTATGAATTGACGCAATTACTTAGCTATAATTTTTTTTCCTTTGAATTTTAGTTGTTTTTTTGGCTTTTATATGAGTATATGTGGGTATATATATGTACTAGGACAACTAAAAAAATTACATTTGAATCGGCCAGAATCAAGTTTGGAATACACTAAACTAATCCGAAATGCATAGAACATCTATGAAATATTTAAAACATCTCCAAAATGTCTTGAATATGTCTTGAGTATAGTCCGAAATAGTATCCAGAACACATCAATCATAGTCCAGAATGGTGTTCGGAGCGCTGTCATTTTACTCTA